AAATGGTTCCCCGACAGCAGCAAAGACAATTCACTTGCAAGGACATGACAAGAAAAAGCTAGAATATTAGTTGTTTTCTTAAGGATTTGTTGGTTGCACAAAGAATTCCAGTGTCTTTGCTTTACCTGAGTGATCTTGATGAGATGAGACATGATGATGAGACTGACTGAGAAGGAATTTAGTTTGTTTCATCATGTATAACACATTTTCTCACAGTGTCCCTGTTTTGTCTGAAATCAATCAATCAGACTCAGGACCTTGGAGACAACAATGCATGTCAAGCGAAAAGTACAAAGCATGGAGGCTGACATTTAAAGAAACTTTGCTGTCTGTTTGTTAAAAAGTCTACGAGCCATGATACCAGCTGGTGGGGCATTTAAAACCACCCAAAAATCTGTTGACTAAAAGATGTAGCTGCATCATGTTAAAAGCTGATGAAAGAAAATAAATGAAATAAAAACACCACAAATGTCCTCATGCTTCCTTTTGTCTTCTTTCATCTCGTTTTTCACCTCTTTGAGAATTAACCACTTTATTTTTTGTTCCCGCTTTGTGAAGAAGATGCTTTTCTTTTTGTTCATGACATCTCTTAGCGCTTTCGTGACGCATACTTTACTGTTAAAGAGATTGTAATGCTTTATATGGAATACGAGTGTCCATGCAGAAGGATATGTAAGAACAAACTGTGATACTTCATTTAAGTTCTGGAGAAAAGGTACTTTCTTATTTGAGGCCACCTTGTTTTGTTTATTAGCAGTTTGGATGACCTATGTTTTTCTCACAGGGTGGCTCATCCTCCCCTCCTGTCCTCTCCGTCAGTACCACTTTGTGAACGAACGTTTGACTTGGCATGAAGCTCAGGCCTACTGCAGAGAGACATACACAGACCTGGCCACCACAGAGAGCATGACGGAAATCAACCAACTTATTGACACAGTTTCATCTTCTGGTTACAACTCTGAGGTGTGGATCGGTCTGTATAATGAAATCGACTGGAGGTGGTCAGATGGGTTCACAGGGAGTGGGGCTGAGTACAGGAACTGGGGATCAAGGGAACCCAGTTTTATGAATGCAGATGAGTTTTGTGTGGGCGTTAGATCAACTGCACGATGGCATGATATGTCCTGCCTTGACAAAGGCCCAGTTATCTGCAACAATGGTAAGGATATCAATGATATACAGTATAAAAAAGAAGGAAGTACAATCCTGTGCAACATCATGTAAATTTCATATGATTCAGCATTTTATCACCTTACAGTAACTGCATCAATCCCAGGAGGTGATTTGTTTATGTAAAATTACAACTAACACACAGTAGGAACTCCACAAAACAATTGTCCGTCCGTCTGTCATTACTTTGACTGAATTTTTCAAATAAATCAATAAAAACGTTCTCAAGATGGAAGACACCATGGAGATGTTCTGCTATTCTTCAGACACAAATCTTTCAGCTGCATTTTACTGGAGAGCTTGTGTTGCTCTGCATTATTCTTTAAATACCTCAATGATGTGGCTTTTGGATTCAGCTCAGGGGACACACTTGTCCAGGTCATACTTTTCACTTTTGTCTTCTTTACAAACTCTTGTGTGATTCTGACAGTGTGCTTCAGATCATCATCATGGGGGAACATTCTTCTTTTATCAACCCTCTGCAGGCTGGGAGTCATCTTGTTAACCAGTATTTTGGTATATCTGCAGTCAGTCATCGTGCCATTTATAAACATCATCTCCACAATACTTTTGGCACTCATGTAGAACCATATATCACTCTTGTTCTGATTAGGTTCATCAAGTTAGTCGTTATGCACTTTCCTTTTCCACTTGACTGTCTGAAGCACTTGTCAATCTAAGAGTTGGATTGTTACCACACCTAACTCAGTAACCCTACTTCTTTGCACACATATTGTAAATACAGTGAATACTGCTATTTATTGCTCTTACTCTCATTTTATTGTTGCAGTTTAGTTTTGTTTCTTATACAGAGAGCTACGATTCACTGGAGCCAAATTTCTTCTTTGCTTGTACAAACTTGGTCAATAAAGTTGATTCTGATTCTGATTGTGCACCAAGGACCCTGTCGATTGTGTCATTTTAGGAAAATGAACACTGTGGCTTTAATTCAATGAGGCTAGCTGAAAATCAGGTGGGTTTTGTTTAGTGATCACAGGTCATTTGAGCTTTTTTGCTGTGATCACAGGTGGGCAACACAGTGAGATGGTGGATAGCACTGTTGCCCCAAAGCTACAACATCCTGGGTTGGACTCATGGCTTAGGATCGTTGTGTAGAGTTTGCATGTTCTTCTGTGTCCGTGTTGGTTCTCATCAGGATCTCCAGCATCCTCCCACAGTCCAAAGACCTGCTGAGGTTTACTGGTAATTCTAAATTGTGCGTAGGTGTGAATATGAGTGTTCTTGGTTATCTGTCTCAGTATGGCCCTGTGATAGACTGGTGACCTGTCCAGAGTGAACCCTGCCTTCACCCTGAGTAAGTTGGGATAGACTGCAGATCCCCTACAGAGGATAAAGTGGTGTATGGATAATGGATGGATGGATCACTGGTGTATTCACCTTTGTTGCCTTAAGTTTCTAGCTTGGGGCTTGTGTTTTCAGTATAACTTAGAAATAATATTTATGGAGAGTTGATACAATTTTGAATCATGTGTCATTGAAGTGATATTGCACAGGGGTGAACTGTTTCTGTTACATGAAGTCCTTCAGTCTTAAAATAATACAGCTTTTAAATAAAGTACATGAACTCATCTTCTCCCTCAAACTGCAGGAACACAGCTGGATCCTGAATTCATTTATGTGAATGAACACATGACTTGGCCCAGTGCTCAGAAGTACTGCAGGGAGAACTTCATAGACCTGCCCACTGTGAGGAATGAGATCCAGATCCAAAAAGAACCAAAAACTTACTGGACCATCCGGCATGGATTGGTTTATTTAGAGATCCTAATTTCTACTGGTCTGATGGGAGCAGCTTCTTCTTCCACGACTGGGATGATGTTTTCAACCGATTTGGCTCAAGGACAGTCATATGCGGAGTTGCATCTCTGCACAGATCAGGGAAATGGAAATTTTGAGACTGCGGTTCCAGCGTTCCATTTGTCTGCTACAGCATACCTGGTGAGTGCTGACCTTTACTGCATTTTTAAAAATATATTTTTGTGTTTGTTGTCAGAGAACAATTCCAAGCATGTTTAATTTCTCCTCTTCTTCTTTCTCTGTGTTTTAACAAAAGTAAAGAAGCAGGTAGTGAAGCTGAGGATCAAACTGGACGACTCCTCTGTGGATCCCAACGACCCTGCTGTGAAAGCAGAGCTCCTGAAAAAGGCAAGTCT